GATAGATAGATAGATAGATAGATAGATAGATAGATAGATAGATAGATAGATAGATAGATAGATAGATAGATAGATAGATAGATAGATAGATAGATAGATAGATAGATAGATAGATAGATGTATTGTTATTTTATCAGAAACACTTGAGTGCCGGCCTGAAAAGTATTTCATCAAGTTCTTATTCACTAATGAATCCTTAAAAAAAAAATTAAGAAAACAATATTTATGCTGGATTTCATTTTATTACGTGACTTTTGATACTTTATTGATTCCCAAAGGGAAATTCGAGAATATGATTTATAGCTATGGCCTCGTTTCTTCTGGTGTTTCTTCTTTGTGTGGTTTTAAGATATTCTGTTCTTTATCAGGAGTTCATCTGGAGCCAGAGGAGTTCCACAGAGAGGTGGAGGCTGTTTTGGCTAATGGGGATTCAGACACCGTCCTTCTGGACTGCCGTAACTTCTATGAGAGTAAAATTGTAAGCAGTTATCTTTTATTTAATAATTACTCTCAGTCCAGTTTATCTATAAAGGACCAGATACCAACAGAACAAACAACTTTCAGATGGTGTTGAATGTTACATCTGTTTTTGGGGATGAAAAAGGAAATGTTATCTCTAAATGAATAATATTATCCGAACAAGAGGCTGAAATGATTTATTCTATTATACTATTAGAAATGTGTACTGTACTTATCTATAGGTGTGATAAGGTTTTCATCATCTGTTTTTGGGGGTGAAAAGAGAAGATAGAGACTAACTTTATCTCTAAATTAACAATATTATCTTAACAAGATAGTTATTCTATTAGAAATGTGCTACTGTGTTACTTATCCATTGATGTGATGAAGTTTTCATGTTTGAGGAGGTTTTTTTTTTTGCGGTAAATCAGGTTAAATCATCTTTATTCTATATTTTAAGTTAAATCGTCTTTATTCTATATTTTAGGGTAAATCGTGTTTATTCTATATTTTAAGTTAAATCGTCTTTATTCTATATTTTAAGTTCAATCGTGTTTATTCTATATTTTAGGTTAAATCGTGTTTATTCTATATTTTAGGTTAAATGTTCTTTATTCTATATTTTAAGTTAAATGGTCTTTATTCTATATTTTAAGTTAAATCGTGTTTATTCTATATTTTAGGTTAAATCGTGTTTATTCTATATTTTAAGTTAAATGGTCTTTATTCTATATTTTAAGTTAAATCGTGTTTATTCTATATTTTAGGTTAAATCGTGTTTATTCTATATTTTAAGTTAAATGGTCTTTATTCTATATTTTAAGTTAAATCGTGTTTATTCTATATTTTAGGTTAAATCGTGTTTATTCTATAT